AATTGCCCTGTTTGAAAACCCCATTGTTTCAGACCATAGAACTCTTCATGGAGCAACTCAGAGGACTAACGTTCTTTGGGAACTCATGTCTGAACCTACTGTTTTATTTCATTTGCTCTCATCTTATAGGTGAGGAAATTCAAGCCCAGATTGGTGAAGTGACTTAGCCTTGTCATATAACTTGAGTAACGCATGTAAGAGGCATGTTGTCTAAAGAAACCCTTGCTCTTTGGCCTTCAACACTATCCTACCTTTTTTGGGGTGACACTGGCAATGCAGGCTGAGGGTAGGATCTGGAGACATTCCTTATTCAGCTCCCTGAAACCCTATCTTTTAAAAATGTTAATTTTTTTAGGCTGTTCTCCTCAAGTTTATCTGAAAATATCCAGTGCTTTCTAGAATAAAGTCTAAACTCTTTAGTGGATGATTTACTTTCCTCCACACCTTACCACTAGCCTATAATTTAAGATTCTTCTGAAATTAACACATTTTTAAGTGGTTATCAAGTTCTCCCTGTCCATCACTAATCTTTCAAAATATCACTTCCTATATAAATCAGTTGAAAAGCTACCTTATTTGTAAGATTTTCTTCCTGCTCTATGTTAGAATTAACAACCTTACTTTAGACTCATTTGGCCTTCAGGTTTTACATTTCTTGGAGAAATTTTATCATGGTTATGTACACACACATGCACTTTAACTTCTATTTTTAGATGTTTAATTTCTTTAGGGCAGAGATCATATTTTTTTCATACTCCCCAGAAACTATTAAGTGTTTACATGGACTAGAAGTTTAATAAATGTGAATTACATTAATACATATTTTAAAATAATACAAACCTGTTCCTTCCTCTGTGACCTGGGCTTCCACTTCTATGGTCATTTCATACCCTTTATTTCTCAGGTGAAATGCACGAGTCTTTATAAGTTGTGTGAGACATCCTTTATTGTCTGCCTGCAGAGAAAGAAGAGAATTCCTGGGTCCTCTGATTTGCTATTGAAAAAGTGAGTT